ATAAAGCATGGGTTTAACAAAATATAAACAGCTTTCTGATTGTAAGGGACACATCATTTGTTCATTGTTTCTGTTGATTTTTGAGGCTATTTTTAACACTCTCAAGTTATCTGAACAATTTTCTCATTAAGTCATACTAAATATTAATGTTAAATCAACTAATCCATTTTAAATGTTAGAAACTCTTTAAAATTTCTAATTTTATAAAAATACCCAACTCACTCTGATTTTTAGGTCATACCTTTGAGTAGTTTTCAAATAGCATTCTACCAGTTATATTGCATTCAGAGACCTGTAAGATTGTGTTGCTATCCTGAAAGTTGCAGCTTTATCAGTGATATTTTAGATATTAGCTACCAGGCACTGGCTAAGTACTGTGTATGAATTGTCTTTTTAATTATTCAAAGAAATCTTCTGGGTCAAGCTCCTCATCCAAGATCACACAGATAATAAGCAACAAAGCTGTGATTCACCGTCTGACAGTGAAGCTTGTACATTAACCCACCATACCACCTCCTCTTAAGTTAATGCAGTGACAGTGATTTAATTCAATTGCTTGCCTTGGGGAACCCTCAGTGCTCTACAGAATAAGGGCAAACAGAAGCTGGGATAATTGGCTGCTCTAGGGCAGTGGCCAGGCCAGGCCCAGAAGTTTCTTCAGGAAGGGACACTAGGAAGTGCAGTAAGTGATGGTTACGTGGCCTCTTAATGGACTCCTTTTGCCAGGTGTCTCTGAAAGTTTCTATTTTCACATCACTAATTTTTTTTTTAGTGAGGAAAGCCCTTTCTCCCACAAGCCTCCAACCCTATCTTTTTTTGCAAGTAAACTTAAAATAAATGCTCCAGGGCAGCCTTGAAGGAGAAAGCTGTCCAAAAGGCAGCCTGAGGAGAGTAGTGGAGAGGGAGTAAGAGGCCCTTGCTTTGTAGGTATTCCTGGAGGCTTGGTGGACTAATGGGAGATAGAAATGCCTTGCTCCTTTTTAAAATACAGACTTTTTTAAAAGAGCAGTTTTAGGTTCACAGCAAGTTGAGAGGGCTTTACAGAGATTCCCCTTGTACCCTCTCTACCCATACATATGGGACCTGCTCCCTTTGTTATCAGCATCCATGAGAAGAGGAAGGATGTTTGTTATATACTGACACAACTAATTCACCCTAAGTCTAGTCAACATTAAGTTCACTCATGGTGTTGTGTATTCTGTGAGTTCTGACAAATGTATAAGGATATGTGTCCACCATTGTCGTATCATAGAAAGTACTTTCACTGGCTTAAAAATCTTCTGTCGGGCCGGGGATTTAGCTCAGTGGTTCCAGCGTCTGCCTTGCAAGCACAACATCCTGAGTTCGATCCCCAGTAGCCCCCACCAAAAAAAAATTCCCAAAATCTGTACTCTGCCTGTTTATCCTTCCACCCCCGTCCCAACCTCTAACAACCACTGATCTTTTTACTCTTTTGCTTTGTCAAAAATGCCATATATTTGGAATCATATGGTATGTAGCCTATTCAGATTGGTTTCGTTTACTTAGTAATATGCATTTAGATTTCTGCTGTGTTTTTTCATAACTTGATAGCTCATTTCTTTTTATCACTAAGTACTATTCCATTGTCTTGATGTACCGGTGTACAAAGTGTGATTGAAAAAATATATTGTTTAAATGTTTTTAATGTGTTATAGAAAAAGAACACTTTGACATTAATCCTCAAAATTCTCCCCCCTCACTTTGCGCACATACCGTTTCATGAGTGTCTCTATTTGCATAGAGACAATATTGCTGCCTCAATATTCTGAACTGATTCAAAACATTTACCTTTCATAGTCATTTTGACTTTGAGGAAGAGCCAGAAGTCACACAATGCCGGATCTGGTGAATAAGATGGATTGGGACACATCATAATGTTTTTACAAGCCTGCCTTCTCATTAGGTGGCACTTAGCAGCAGCATTCAGGTTATTTTTGATGACATCTTGTAAAGACAGGAAAGAGGACTTCCAGAACCCCTTCTGAAAATGCCAAGAGTGATGGGATAAGTGTGTTAGAAGCAAAGGGGAATATTTTGAGTGATATTAATGTCAATATGTCTTTTAGTATAGTAAATTTTAAAAATTTAAACAGTCACTATATATTTTGATCACACTTCGTATTTGTTCACCTAATGAAAGACTCATGGCTGCTTCTAAGTTTTGGCAACTATGAGTAAGGCTGCTTAGACATCTGTGTGTAGATTTCTATGTGGACATATGTTTTTAACTCCTTTGGATAAATATTGGGTAAATAAGGAGTTTAATTTCTGGTGTGTATGGTAAACCTCTATTTAGTTTTGTAAGAAGCTGCCAAACTATCTTCCAAAGTGGCTGCACCATTTGCATTCCTATCAGCATTAACTGAGAGCTCCTGATGATCCACAATCTCACCAGCATTTGGTGTTCTTGATTTGAGCCACTCTAATAGCTGTGTAGTGATATCTAATGATTGTTTACATTTTCCTTTCCCTCGTGACATATGATGTGGAACAGCTTTCCATATGCCTATTTGTCATCTGAATCTCTTTTGGTGAGGCGTCTGTTATAGTTTTTAGCCCATTTTTAAATTGAGTTGTTTGCTTTATTGTTCAATTTTAAGAATTCATTGAATATTTTGGTAAAAATTCTTTATCAGATACGACCTTTGCAAATACTTTCTCCCAGGCCCCAACTTAGCTTTTATTCTCTTAGGGCTCAGGCCTTTTTTAGGCTGTCAGGGGTAAGCCTCATCCAAATCAGCCTTCCCTCTTATCAGCCAGCAACAAGGGAGGGGGCCACCCTAACAGGAGAACCTATTGGAGGTCCTCAACTTTCACTGGAAAAACTTACCCTTCATGGGGCACATGTCAACCCCAGAAACCACGACAACCATGTGAAAAGGAAACCCCAAAGCCTCCTTTACCAGTATACACCTGCTCATGCGGTTTGCCTGGCCTGCCCTCTCTGATCAGCTTGCATACCCCTGGACACCCTGCTGTTCTGAAATGTAGAACAAACTGGGCATGGTAGCACATACTTGCAATCCTGGCTACTCAAAAGCCGGGGGCAGGAGGATCACAAGTTCAAGGCCAGCCTGGGTAAATCCCTATTGAAAGAAAGAAAAGAAGAGAGAGAGAGAGAGAGAGAAGAAAAGATAGAATTATTCTAAGAAATTATTGCTTTTAGCAAGAATAATTCAGGAATGAGCTATATTAAAGGAGAAGGATATTACCAATTCATTCTGAGCTCTGATCTAATCTAGCTCAGCATTCAGAGCACACTGACTAGTATGACAAGAAATGAGACTGTGGGACTCAGTGTAGATATATGTAGATGAATGTTCTGATGAGAGGCAATCATAATGATTGATTTCAGAACAGAAAAAAGAAAGTTTGATTTCTACAGGAAAATGCCCTTTCAGGCTTTGGCATATTGAAATCTTCCAACAAGATAAGGATGGAAATATAATGTTACTGTTCAGTCTGTTTCATGAACCTTTGTGTCCTTGGAGCTCCATGAGTGCTAATATTATTTTCTGGGAGTAGTAATGCTATCATTGTACCTGTGGCTAATTCTTTGTTATTTCCCAAGCATTTTCAAATTCAGCATCTTGTTTGACCTTGTGCCATCCTGAAGGATCTTCACACATTCATTTATTTGTTTATTTAACAAATATGAATAATGTGCTTGTGCTGTGTGGCTGCACATGCCAAGCTAGCATGACTTGATAATTGATGCTCATTTTATAAATGGACAAATTCTTAGTACTAGTGACAACCAAGTCAGGACAAGACTTTTCACTGTGCCTCTGCCTTGGCTTCCCTGAAGGCACCCAGACTGGAAGAAGGCTCTCTAGAGAAAATTCTGGTATGACCGTTGGTGTGGATGTTATTCAAATGGTCTAAAATGTGCCTTCCAAATTTGGGAGAAATGTTTTTTTGTGGAGTAGTGACAGAAACTTCATTTTATTTCTATACATTATTAAGCCAGGTAACAATAGAGAACAGATAATGAAGGTGAATATGGAGGAACCATTTTGATATTCATGTCCTCGAGTTAGACTAAAAGATTCTGTTTGTGATGCTGAGCCTCAGGGAGTTTCCAAGTCTGCTTGGTTTGAAGGTACTTATTTTCACCTGGGAAGTTTGTGGAGCACCAGACTTTAAAATAGAAGAATTATTAAAGGTGACGTTTCCTAACATTTGTTAGACTTTTTATTTTTCAAAGGGACTGCTAAACACTGGCTACTTCCAGTCACCTGCAAAGAAATGAAGATAGAACCCTTCGACTGAACACCTTTCAAGGCTCAGAAGGAAAAAGTGATGTGTAGGATTATTTTTTCCTTTTTAGCACTTTTCTCCCTAGGAGTAAAAATGTTTTAATGTTAAGGAAATGTATTAGCCTCTGCTAAAAGCTGAGCCCACTCAGCCCCGTGATTCTCCAGGGATGAGCCCTTAGGGATCTCCCTGAAAGCTGAGAGGAATGACAGACCTCAGGCTCAAGTCCAGTCGGAAAAGAGGGTGGACAGATATCTCCTTGGTGATATAGTTGGGGCACTAGCTGTCTGGCTCCATGTGACAACTCTCTCTCTCTCTGTCTCTCACACACACATTCACGCACACACACAAACACATACTTGTAACATCTGAATCTTGACAGTGATACCACGGTCCAGGTGGGTTGTTCTGTCAGTATCCTAAAGTCCCCTTGACAAATGGTGACACATCAGTATGGCCTACAGGCTTGCCTCATGTTCCTTCCCTCTTCACCTCTTCCTTCGTCCTCTATCCTCTGTCCCTTAGGCCAGGTAAGGTCACCTTGCGCTTCCCATAGGGAGCATCCTCCAGGGGGAGCCCGGTTGGTTGCACTCTTGAGGAGAGCGGGCTGCTGGATGCGCGCCCTCCTCCCTTGATCCATGGGAAAATTTCCTGTCACAAGACCGAGGTGCCTCCGGGAGGAGCTGACTCAACCTCACCCTGTTCTCTCCCTCTCCCCCTAGGAAATGTGACAGGAAACAGTAACTCCACGTTCATTTCCAGCGGACAAGTGATGAACTTCAAGGGCGACATCATCGTGGTCTACGTCAGCCAGACGTCGCAGGAGGGCGCGGCGGGGCCGGGGGGCGCGGGCGCGGAGCCGGTGGGCCACCCGGTGCAGGAGGAGACTCTGGCGCGCTGCGACTCCTTCGCGGGCAACGCGCCACGCTTCCCGGACACGTGCGCGGCCGCCGAGGCGCTGCGGGAGCCGGACAAGGCCTCGCGGCCGGTGCAGGAGCAGGGCGCGGCCTGAGCGGCCCCTGTGCCGGGCCTCGTAATCGGGCACCGCGGAGCACCGGATCCTCCTGACCTTGGCCGAGATCATACAGGTGTGCAAAGTTACCTGACGTTCTTCACCCGCCTTCAGAGAACCAGACTTTTCAAAAAGTCAAGATGCATTGTGACTACTTACTGTTAGCACTGCCTCTTAACCCCTCACACAGGTACATACTGCTCGCTGCCATCTGGGTTGTCCACCTTTTACTGCTGTTTATGGCTCTCTACCCCTACCCTCGCTCATGATCACTTCATCAGTAACTGTCTCTTTTTGGCATCTTTGGTTTATGACTGTCCTGTTGAAGTCTGTATTTTCCTCCCTATGTTTATATTTCACTTTCTTTCATAACATATTTCTTGATACTTTTTTCCTGCACCTTTTTTTTTTTTCCTATTTAAGGAGTTTTTCAAAAGTCTTCTTCAAGGTGATATATACATATATATACATATATCTTCTCACAGTACTCTGTTGATGGCTTTCCAAGTGTGCATCTAAGAACTTTCAGGGAAAGGCTAGAGCTGTAAAGCCTGGAATGAGGGGCAGGGTACGTGTAAAGGGACTTTTATTTTCTGACAAATATTACGTGTCCTCTTTTTGCTAAAAGGAAGAAAATGAAATCTTGTTTTTCCCCATGAATGTTTTAAAGTTTGTATAGCTCCTGGACCAGAACTAGATTCAATGCATGCCCTTGTTCATTTATGCACACTATCAGAGACCACAGATATTTGGCAGCTAGCTATCCAAAAAAAAAAAAAAAATGGCATCTTCATCTCTAAAACTTGCTACAGTTGGCATTCTTAATCTTGTTGTCTCTGTGGAGAAGATGAAGAAAAATAGTAGAACACTGGTTCTGTCTGCCACAAAGTGAAAAGAAGGTGCCAGCAAAGTTCAAGAAGGAATAAAGTTGACATTAATTTATATTTTCTCCTTCTAGAGATGAATGCCATAAATACGTTTAAGCACTAGGGCCTCCTTTCTTCCTAAATAATTGTGCATCTATATCTTAGCCTTGAAGAAAATATCCCTAATTTTTCCAGTGTATTTAAATTACAAACCAAATCCTCATGTTGTGAATATAAAAGAGCTTATTATCCTACAGGTGCTTTTCTCTTGGGATTGGAAACAGAATGTAAGTCAGTCTGGAATGAAGTCACCTGGGTGGATTTACCTGCTGTGGCCAATGAGCACTGGTTTTCCTTGATACTGGAGAAACGATAAAACACCTAAGTAATTAAAAGTAATTTTGCACATCTGGTAGATGGTAAGAGTGTTAATGGTGGTCACTGTGCAGACTTTAATGGCCATAAATGTCCACCTAAAGAGAAAGGCTATGCATTGTTGAGTCTCTCTCCTGGTTTCAGTTCTCCTGTAACTGCTGGGTGGTAGCAGTTGATTGTGACTTTTTATGCAGAAGCAGTGGACAGCTCTATAATTTATGGGATCTTCACTCTGCAGGAGTAAAGAACTACAGGAAGTAACTGTAGTGCCAGAATGATCTGTTGGTGGGAATTTACCATCTTTTCTTCCCTTTTAGTTAACATCCATCCAGAGTGAGATATAACAAAAATGGGGGGAAAATTATACCTTTTGATTCACAACATATTAAACAGACAAAATAATAGTTCAGAAAGTAGGTTGCTGAGCTAAAAACCCACATTTTTACTGTGACTGTCATTATCTTACTTCACCTCTCTGCTTTCATTTTACTTTCTATAAAATGATCAATAATGATAATTTATCATAGTTTTTCTACCCAGAGATTATCAAATGGATGCCACAGTGAATGTTAAAAATACCTTGAGCTCCTTAAATAAAGGTGTTACCATTAATACATTAGAATCTAATTTCAGAAAAAGTAATATTCGTTCCCATAGATCTCTACTAATGCTGTATCATTCCAAAGACAACTAAATGATAGGAAGTGGATAGCAAATATAGGTCTGTGTATAGAGAGGTAGCTGACAGATGTAAACAGAATGAAATGAAAGCAATAATAAAAAATTATTTGGGGGACATGATAAAGAGATTATTAAATTTATATTTGACCATAAAGGACTTTTCATGGCTTGGTAAAACAGGGTTCATTATGGCCTCATAATCCAACATGTTGGTTTTATTTTGTCTTTTTGGTGATTCTCTTGACAACAGACTTGGGAGAAAAAAACTCTTTGATGATGTATCTGCTGTTAATCTCACAAGAAAACTAAGTACAGTCTGGCTACCTAGTAAAAAAGATGAAAGCTAAACTACCTATAGAGGGTAATGTTTTCTACCCACATTTACTTGCCTACTAGAAGGCGGAATTAATTTCTTTTTCTACCTGAGAATGTAAAACTTAATAATGTGTGGAAACTTCATGGAGCAGGGGAAAGGATTTTTACTGTGTAACAACCCATTCCAACACTCAGTGGCTTAAAACAATGGCTACTTAGCTTAAATTTCTATGGGTTGAATTAGCTTGAGTGGTTTTTCAGGCTTAGATCCAGCAAGGCTGGACTCCCTCACCCAGTTGTGGAGAGCAGGCTGGTTGGTGGGGTGGGCTAGGCTAGCCTGAGCCTTCTCCTCACGGTTCCTTGTCCTTCCACCCACCAAGTGGAGCTGATTCTTATGGTGGTGTCAGGGTCCTGAGAAGGCAGGCATAACCCTGCCAGGCTTCTTGAGATATAGGCAATAATTGGCACACTTTCCTTCAGCCACTTCTGTTGGCCAAAGCAAGTCAAAAGACCAGTGCAGATTAAAGAGATAGGGAAACACCCCCAAAGGAAGAGCTGCAGGGTAGCATAGTGGGGTGGGTACAAGGAGGGGACGATGAGGACCCTTTTGCCATGTATCCAGGGACATTGTTTGGAACAAAATGGTGCAGAGAAGGGTCCATCTGGGAACAAAACAGGCACATTTCCCAGGCCCTGATAAATGAAGGATTCCCTCTCCTGTAACCGAATTCCTCCAGTGGAAGAGATAGCCACATTCACATGTACATATCAAAATCTCTTCCAGAGTAATTGGAGGTGATTTGGGAATTGGGTCTATGATACTACTGCTGTACTTTATTGCACAGAAAACTGAAACATGACTGTTTATAAAACCAAGAAAACTGATGAGATGCTTTGGGTAGAGGAACATGTTAAGGAGGTAAAAGATCTAATGTTCACCTTTACTCTGCTTCAACAAATGTTTTTTATATACTGGGCAAAAGGGTGACATGAGCCAAGCACTGTCTTTGGTGGACATGTGGTGTATTATAGACATGTTTGCTCTTAGCAGTCTTAAATGAATATGATTCCCTTAGTTTATCTTCTTTGGAACACTGTATGGTGCTCTGGGTGCAAGCTGCACAGCCTGATTTGGGAGAGGGAATAAAGCTTTCAAGGCCCTGCATGCTCTATTGGTGAGTCATCATTTTCCTTTAGTGTACTTCCAATGTCTGGGCCCTGGAGCACCCAGTGAGAGGAGGTGAAGTGTGTTGGGGCTAGGAAGGAAAGGACAATGCTCAGCTGCAGCTGTCAGGGAAGGCTGCTGGGAAAGGGTGTGTGTGGACTTCCTGACCCCAGGGCAGTGCCTGTGAACCAGCTACCTTGTAACTACTAAAGCCTTGCCAGAGAAGAGATGGGCCTGAAACTGGGGCAAGTGTTGGGTGGGATAGGGTGTAGCAGCCAGAAATGGGCACAAGTGAAGTCCAGGTAAGGCCAAGCCCATAGGTGCGGGGCAGCCTCATCCACTGAAAACCCTGGATGACACTGCCTTAGCCCCAGTAAGGAGCTGCTGCTCTTGGCCAAAAAGCCCATGTGACCAGGGTTTGAACAAGAATAGAGACACCTACTGGACCTCTGAATGTGCCCCTCTTGAGCCCCTCCACCATAGTTTCTCATGGTTTTCCCGAGTCTTATTTTCTTTCTTCCTCCCTACTTGCTTCGCAATTATGAGGCTGAAACTCATGCTTGGCTAACATCTCTCTCTCTCTCCTTGATTCCCTTTAGTAAAAGTGACATACAAGAATGTTTCCAAGTTTTTTTCAAAGAATAATAAGATTTTTAACTTTAAAAGATTAAATTGTGACATAAGTTTTATCTGTAATTTCATTCTAGCCAAGAAGCTGGTGAATTTACCTCTTCCACTATGTAGCAGAGAAAGCAGAAACTTTGTAATCAGCCCTATATCACAATTCAGCCCCGCCACTATGGCTTTACCTTGACAGCCACTGCACTTGCTAGCCTTGTTTTCCACATGTGTCAAGTAGGGATAACAACATTAGTTTATAAGGCAGCTATAAGAATGACATGGGATAAGGTCCAGCCACACCCCCGAAGAGTTCCTAAAGACACAGGCAGGAGAGATCCAACTGTTACATGCCACTTTCCCTCCATCTCCAACATCTGTCCCCTCCTGGACACACAAGCTGTCTCATTCATCAGGTTCCCTTCCTGAGTCAGACCACACAACTGTAACCAAGCTCTGCCATCCATCACAGAAGCTTTCTACTCTCTGAAAGTAGGTTGAAGGGAAGCACCTTTTCACACAGCCAATTGGCAAGACCCCAAACTGTCATTTGCTACTGACATGGCCCAGAGGGTAGTGACTGATACAGTTTAACTTCACATTGTCTTGTCCTCATACAAGAATTAAAGTGGGCACTACAGGATCTTTCTCTTTTAGCCCAAGAATTTCAGAATAGTGAAGAATTCCTAGGTATGTGGATTGAAAGGCTGTTGTGTGTATGTCTCCCCATACCCCCATCAGATATTCATGGTACCTCTTTCAGTTTGGGAAGAATAATAAATGGACCACCAGTTCAGCAGGGGTGACATTAGTGCCCCTGCAGGAGGGGACTGGAGTCCAACAGACGCTTCACTGTACCCCAGTGAAGACTCTTGGTTGCTCAGGAAGCAAAGGTTGCACAGACTTGAAAGTTATGAAAACCACTTTCTCATGAGCCTCTCAGAGATTACTTTCATAAGCAAAGACAGTAATACATCTCTGACTCTAAAAGAAAAAGCAAGTTTATTTTTACTGGCTTTTATGGCCTCTATTTAAAAGGTGGAAAAGCCATGAAAATTCATATTTAAAGCTCTTAGAAGAGCTTTCAGTAGAAGGGAAAGAAATAAATATGAGAAAAGGAAAAAACGGAAACAAAGTCTGTAAATAGGGAAGGGTGGTGGGGTTGAAGGGAGGGCAGGAGAATGGGGAAAAAATAAGAACCAAGATATATATTTGTAAATGTACAAATTCCCAATGATGAAGGTCACCATATTGTATACCTAAAATATACCAATAAACTTAATGAAAAAAAGAAGAAGAGCTTTCACCAAATTTTATCATCTCTGTGGTAAATAATTTTTCATGTTAGGTCTATTGAGTTTTTTATATGAAGTAAAATTCACTTTTATCTACAAAGCTACTGTGACAAAAACAGCATGGTACTGGCAAAGAAACAGACCTGAGGACCAGTGGAACAGATTAGAAGATGCAGAAACAACTCCAGA